ATATAACTAATAATATACTAATAATAACTAATAATAAACTTAATAATAAAACTAATACTACAACTCATTTTATAACATTACAATCCTTTTTATCATTATTATCATACTGAGTTTGGTCATTTACATATACTGATTCCTAAATATTATGAAGACATTGTTCACTAAATGCTTTAAGTTCAGTATTCTCATCATTAAAGTCACCATAACCAATATACTTATTATCACATTGGCTCTACAAAAGTCCTATAACAATAATGTCAAATAATTACAATATAGTTTATAAATAAATGTTTACAAACAATTTTTTTTTAATATTCTTTTACTTTTTTGAATTTTAAATGAATCATATAAGAAAAAACTAATATGTGCATAGCCCCACATATTGTTTGCCTTCATACTAGCCACTATTTGCTTTACTACTTTGTCTTGCCAGCCTGTATATTAATCAGTTTCATTAATATAGTTTTTAAGTATTGATAATGATAGCATTCGGATAACAGACTTTATCGCTTTGTATACAGCAAGACTTCTAATATAAATTGAAATCATCTATCAAATAAATCTAAAATAACATAATTAGGCATTATAATTAGATACTTTTTTTTTTTTTTTTACTTATATGAGATTGTATTATATTTCTTTAATTTTTTACTTTGTATATAAACTAATTCTTTTAAAATGATATTTGATATGTTTTTATGTTTTTTTATTCAAAACTTCATCAACAATATTATAAACAATGCTAGTTAATAGTTCTGATGCTTGTTCTTCTTCAGCTTCAAGTTTAATCTTTAAACAGTTACAGAAATCTTTGACTAACTCTTTTTGTAACTAAATTATCTGAAATTAAAAATTTTTTTAATAAAAATGTTTATTAAATTAAAATTAACTTAGCAAAAACTATTTTTTGTACTTTTTGAACAATTTCAACTAGAATATCTTTGGAGGCATATAATGTTTTAACGGATTGAATACTATATTTGTATCATATTTTAATTTGATACAATGTGTTATACAATAATTTGCAACTTGCGTATATGTCATTATCTAAGACAAAAAAACACAATTAACTTTGCGATAAGCTTTATTATCAAGCTCTTTGTATTTTAAATTTGCAATTATTTCTTGATTATGTTGTAGTTCTAAAGAATTTAAGTATAAATGATCATCTCGCAAATAAGTTGCCTGCTCAAATTTTAAATTTATTGCAAATAATTAAAAAAAAATTTTGTTATTCAAAAAAATATATGATTATATTTATCTTTAATACACTGTTTTATGCAAATGCATAATCTCATAAAAAATTGTACAATTGAAACAATTTTATTGATCATTGAAACCTTATAGCTAATATCATTTTCTTCTAGAATATCATCTTCTACTTTTAGCCCATTAACAACAAGAGAGACTTAAATAGTTTCTGACTTCCATTAGGTGCTTTTTTGATATAAAGTTCTTTTTTATATTTGTTTCTAATAAAACAAGACACAAAAATTCCTTGTCTTCTGTTAAAGTTGCATCTGTCAAATCTACATTATTATATAACATTTTTGGTAAAATATTTTTAACTAAAAGTAATGTGACAGCTTTAGCATTTTTGAAATAAGGTGTATAATTCTGTCCTTTTATTATTTGCCTGATACTTGGTTCATCACAATTAGGTTTTAAAAATATAATTGTTAAGGCTAACTTTTTGCCTTTAAAAAAGCATTTGCTATTAAGTATCCTTATCTAAGCCGAAAAAGATGAAAATTGTTTATGTATAATTAATCATATATATATACATATTGTTCTGATTTTTCATATGATATGCAGCCTTCGGCAAACTTTTTAATTGTTAAAAAACCAAACACTTTGACTATTGAGGTTAGGACAAAGCTGATAAAGTTGTTGTAAAGCTTCATCTTCAGAGTTTTTATAATTATTTTTGAATATTTTGTTATAGGCTCATTTATTATTTTTTCAGATAAAATTCTTTAAAATAGCAGTATAAAAGTTAATTAGCTGTATTTATATGTAATTATATAAATATCATAAAGCAAAAATCTGTAAATCCTAAAAGATTTGCAAATTTCCTTTCTGCAGCACCCAAATCTTACAGTAAAATGATAATTTTTTTAAATATAATTTCTCATAAGTCTCATAAATAACATATACTTAATATAAATGAATTCTTACTAAACAATAACTCAACAAAGTATTTCTAAAAAATTACTATTTAACAAATTCTTATAATAAATAAATGCATTATATTCAACTATTTGTATCCTAATTTACTTTAATAACAATTTTCAAGGTTATTTACTTCTAAAATATACTTCATTTTGGTAGATATTTATAATAAATAAATGTCTAATATTTATCTATTTAGTTTTATTTTGACAAATTTTTAGTTATTTATTGTTAGCAAGGTATTAAGCTACCAAGAAGTTTAATTTTCAAAATTATAAGTTTAACTTTCAATAGTTAAAGTTTCATAATTTGATTAAAAATCAGTTTATATTAGATACACACTTTTTTAAAATATTTGCAGGCTTTAAATATATTGGTCTTACCTTTGAACCTCTATTTTTTTATCTAAGCAATATATAAATATTGTATGATTCAATTTTTCACTTCAAAAAAAAATGGTTACAAAATCTTTAAATATTTGGCTAGTTACTTACGCATGTTGAGTTTTGAAGAAAAATATCTTGGCAGGTAGATTACTCCAAATAAATTTTTTTATTAGTTAACACTGAGTGATTTAAGCATTATATATAGAGAGGTGCCAGTAAAAACCAAGCAATTTGTTTCTAAGTAAATTTTTTTTAAACTTTGAACTAAAATATCTTAACAACTATTAAACCAAACTTGATAAAAATTTTTTTATTTTAATTTTATAACTATATAGAATTAAAATAAAAATTTTTTTTATCACATTTGGTTTAATAGTTGTTAAGATATTTTAGTTCAAAGTTTAAAAAAAATTTACTTAGAAACAAATTGCTTGGTTTCTACTAGCACCC